CTCCCCATTTCTCTTTGAGATGGGATTCCTGCATAGTCCATGCTGACCTTGGTCCTGGGAGTCTGGGATTACACATGTGCCATCACACCCAGGTGAAGCTATTTGAGGGCTATTGCTCAGCTGACTACATTATCCATATCAAACAGGCTTTGTGTCTGATAAACTAAAATTTGATTTGCTTAGAGAACTATGGTAATCAAGTCATTTACTGGTTAAGAAAGCCCTCTAATTTGTCCTTTCTCTATCCTAGACAAGTTTAAAACAAGTCTTTGGTGAATAAAAGCAGCATCTGCATAGACAGTTCAGATGGAATCAGAATGTTGTCCTGATCGTTATCCACCAGCCTATGATATTTTTCAGTAAAGACCAAATTCCCATATGACACTCAAGGATCTAGGTTCTGTAGCTCCTGCTGTCTGATGAGTGTTCAAGTACCAGTGATGGCTGTCATTAAGTGTAATGAAGCAATCCAAACACAGAATCTCCTCCAAGGCTCATTATTTTTCCTGGCTCTAGAAACAGAATCTTCATCTCAAGTTCCTTGAAGTAATGACATCTGTAAAATGAAGAACATGGCTTGCCCTAACCTCTCAACACATACATTCCCTGGCCAGACATGTGACTGATACCTGGAATCTAGCACGTATGAGGCAGAGTAGAGAGACAGAGTGTTTGAAACCTGCACAATCTAGATAGTGAGTCCCAGTCCAACATGGACTACCTAGTGAAACCCTGTTGACAAAGAAACAAGCACATGCTCCTGCTAACCACGAGTAAAAACAAATACCAAGCAAGGACAGCAAACATCAGATTTTCTGTCTCCTTTTCTGGTATATTTTCTGCCATCTTACAGCCAAGATCCAGGAGGAGATTAACCAGGTGATTGGAACGCACCGTATCCCAAGAGTGGATGACCGGGCCAAGATGCCCTACACTGATGCTGTCATCCATGAGATACAGAGACTGACAGATATTGTGCCCCTTGGTGCCCCCCATAATGTCATACGGGACACTCATTTCCGAGGCTACTTTCTACCCAAGGTGAGATTGTACCCCATTGTTGTCCTGTCACCCTTTCCTGGCTTCTCTCTCTTCCTGTTTGTGTATCCTCACCCCCATTGCCCAACACAAAACTCCAATGGCCTCTGTCTGTCTCCTAGGGTACAGATGTGTATCCCCTGATTGGTTCGGTCCTCAGAGATCCCAAATACTTCCGCTACCCAGATGCTTTTTATCCTCAACACTTCCTGGATGAACAGGGGCATTTCAAGAAAAATGATGCCTTTGTGGTCTTTTCCTCTGGTAGGTAATTACGCCTAAATTTCCCACAGATAAGTACTAGAACAGTCTTTCCAAGGTCTATGTTATAGAGTTATAAAAATCCTAAAATCCCAAATCCAGGAATATTAGAATCATTCACTTTAATGATTAGGGAAAAACTTACAGCAGAAGACTGTTGTCTATGACTGTAGTCTTAGTATTCAAACAGCAATAGTAATAAGATTTCAAGAGAAAGGCCAGCCTGGGCTAACAGTGAGATCCTGACTTTAAAACAATTGGAAATAACAAAAATATAATAGTAAAATGTTAGAGCAACAATATCAAACATTTAGTAAACCTAACCATAGTATGTTAAGAATCAAATTAAAAATATTTCATCTTTTGTCAGCCATATGACCCTTGTCTGAACCACTCACATCTGCCATGCGCTATGGACAACCATGGCCACTGGTAACTCTTAAGTGAATGGTCCTGTATGTGTAAAAATGTAAACACACTTATTCAAGGGTACTGGGACTTATTTAACTCACACAAGATAATCTTTTTCACTGAATATGTTCAAACATTCTAAAAGATGAAAGGCATTCATGCCATATAGACACAAAGCAACACCGTAGATTCACCTTATAAAGGTGAGGTGGCCAACAAGAGGTCGTGGCATCATGGGAAGCCTGGAGCCTGGGTAAATTATTGAACCTCTCAATCATGAGATAGAGATTAATCCCCTTTTTCACTCTTGAAACGGCCCGTGGCAATCAGGAAGCTATCCTTAAATACATCTCAGCTTTTTTTTTTTTTCAATCTCACTAGTATTTGATATCTAAGGCATTTGAAACACCTTTGAAGAATTGAAATGAACAGAGTTTTGATATTTGTTTCCTGATCTGGGGATGGAATTCGCAACCCCGGAGCAAATGTCCTCACTGAGACACATACCCCAACCTCTCACTGGTGGGATTTAGTCAATACTCTGTTTTGAGTCACACTCAGCCCTCATGGATCCTTTAGAAACTGCTTATCTGGTTCTAACTCAGGTAGACTAGGTCAGCAAAAAAAGTACCTGCCACCTGCCCAGTCCCTCTAAGCGGCAGGTAGCAGTGGGACCCCAGTAAGTCTTAATAATGACCCCACATTGTGGATACAGCTGTGGGCTGAGGAGTCAGGCCAGGCTGCGTGGGGTGGTTATGGTAGTAGGGACTTGGCGCACACCTCCTCCATCAACTGTGTCTACAGGAAAGCGCATCTGTGTTGGGGAAGCCCTGGCCCGCATAGAACTCTTCCTTTACTTCACCTCCATCCTTCAGAGGTTCTCCTTACGTTCTCTGGTGCCTCCTGATGATATTGACATCGCTCACAAAATCTCAGGCTTTGGCAACATCCCCCCAACTTATGAGCTCTGTTTCATGGCCCGCTGAGTGCCCACGGCGAGGCCAGCCAAGAGTCACCTGAGACCCGAGCTCTGCTGGAGTTCACGCACACCCCACCTCCCTTCATCCCCCCTACATAATCTTTTATCTTTGCCCTGATATTGACCAGAATGTACTCTGAAATTCTTTCCTGTTTGCTTTTATTTCTCCTCCCCAATAAAGAACTCAAAGAGTGTTGACCATAGCAAGCTTACAGAGTATCGTGTTGACAGCT